ATTTCGGAGAGTGAGGACAGATAAAGACAGCAGCTATGGACCAAGGGAGTTTTTAAGGTGTCTTGTACAGGTGGAACTTGAAGAACATGCTGGTAGGTGACACACAGAGAGTAAGAGAAGGAAGGTGGTTCCCAGGCTCCAAAATAAAAGCCCGAGAGACATGTTTACTGGCTAGAGAAATAGAGAAGAGGAGGAAGGGGTAAGAAGTAGATGGTTTCCACTGAGGAGAATTCCTATGGCCAGGAGGGAAGCTACCAGCTCAGTGGGAATGTGGAGCAAGGGCTAACTCAGAGCGGGGACAAATCCAAGGAAGGCCACACCACATCTTATCTCGTTTCCTCCTTTCAGAGTAGAACAGCTGTGGCCTTAGCCCTCCACCTGAAATAGACTGAGTGACTTCAACCACCCACATACTTTGCCACAGTGAAGCTGCAGGGAGGAAAGATGGAACTGAACAAAACTCATCAGTAGGACTGACAGGATGAGGAGCAGGAAATAGTATCACACAAACTGGAATGAATGGCAGTATCAAAACTTGAGTGGGACTCTGTAGCTTGTAGGGGACAACAGTAGGAAAACTGGGGCTGAGAAAAAGGAAGAAAGAGGCGATTCTCAGTGGACGGGCATCCTCAGCTCTAAAGGTAGGATATGTGGGGGACTGGCACCTTTATTTGATTTCTGCAGACCGCGTCTCATATGTCCAGAAATGTATCACAGGACTTATTTTTACTTCTAAGATTCACAAAGAAATGGACTTTTCAGCATCTACCAAGGCATGAGAGGGCTCAGCAAGCAATAAAAGAGCTTTGAGAGGAAGTCATTTGGAATATCAGCCATCCGACATTATGCCAGGGGCAGAACGCTCTGAAAGAAATTTCATTCAGGAAGGAGAAAAAGAAAAAGTTGAAAAGGCTGGGGGAGAGCTAAGGAGGGTCTACAGAGGACAAAGGCGGTACTAAGTGACAAAGGAGGGTAAGATGCAGAGTGCTCTTCTGTCTCTCCATGTCCATGCTGAAGGCCACGGGTCAGCAACAGAAAAACAAATGCTCTGTAGAGAAGGTGCAGCAGGAGTGTGCCCTGGGAGGCGACCTGCTGGAATACTAGGAACGGGACAGAATCGAAGTTGGCAGGGGCTTGTGATCAAGTCAATTTTATGGCAAAGTTTCTGAGGCAGGGTCCAAAGCCGATCAACCAACGCAAACCAAAACCTGAGGTGAGAAGTCTGTCACAGAGAGGGCTGAGGGCCTGAGGTGAGAAGTCTGTCACAGAGAGAGCTATGAGGGCCTGAGGTGAGAAGTCTGTCACAAAGAAAGCTATGAGGGCCTGAGGTGAGAAGTCTGTCACAGAGAACCCCCACCACACACACACACACACATACACACAAATATACACGTGCATGTTTCCTTAACCTGCTATGAAGAATCCCTTAGACTAACCACAGCAATGACAGAAGCCATGATGGACTGAGAGTCACACAACTGAGACACCACGGTTCTGTTAGCTGTGGTACACACGGCAGACCAACATGAAGTCAACCCAGCCTAGGAAGGGGAAAAGGAAAAGAGAGCAGACCCAGGCCTGCTAGGTCCTTATCTTCCATCTCTAGGCCTTGAACCTCAGAGGAAACTGTTTCCAATATATATCAAAAAGTGTCCTGCACAAACAAAACCATGAAATCTCATTATTTCATGGTATTTGCACTTAAAGGGACAACAGACAAAAGGAAAGTGGGTGGGCCTTGCTTAGCTTGTTCTGAGGTCAAGAGGAGAGGCCTCACCTTGGGCCACCTTAAGGCACTTCAGCGGGCAGATAGCCTCTATACTGTGTAGGGTTCTCGGGTCAGGCTGCATGACACGTAATTATAATAGGAGAGAAGAGAATGATTTCTTTAAAACGGTCATGGGAATAGACTTTGAAGCTTCATCTAAAGCCTTTCCCATATGCCTCAAGCCTCATTTGGCTACAGTCTCAGGTCATGTTCAGCTTCATGAGCCAGGGGAAGAAGCCAGGCTGGCTCTCTTTGCAAGAGCCTTCGGGAGCACCAGGCTCTCAGGCCAGGGGCTGCACTTGGAAGGGCCTCTGCAGGGCAGCTTCTCTTAGCACACACAGGCCAGACAGATGGTGACAGCAGGCTCAGCACGCTTGAAAACTGGGGATTCGTCACTTTTAATTATCGCTATTCTGTGGAAGGTCTCCAAAGACTCATGCCATGAAGACTTGGTCCACGGGGAGGCACTGGTGGAAGAAAGGGGAACCTTTGGGAAGTAGGGCCTTGCAGGAGGAAGTAAGATCATCATGGAGGCAGGTCCCTGAAATGGACTATTTGGATCCCCAGCCCCTCCCTCTCTCATGTTGTGTCTCAAGTGCCATGAGGTGAGCAGCTTTGCTTCATCATGCACTTTTGGCCCAAGTGATGTGGTTAAAACTGCACAGATTCAAACCTTTGAAACCATGAGTCATAATAAATAATACCTTATAAGTACCACGTAGAAAGCAGGAAATGGTGGTGCATGCCTGGAATCCCAATGCTCGGGGTGGATACAAGAGGATCCCAGGGCCTGGCTGGTCAACCAGTCAAGTCAATCACAGAATTTAGATTTGGTGAGAGACCCAGTCTCAGAAAGGTGGAGAGTGATGGAGGAAGACATTCAGTATCTACCTCTAGCCTCTATAGATACATGCATGGGCACACCCACCCACACAAACACACTTGTATGCACATATATAGACCATACACACATATAAAAAATGAATGAATAAAAAAACTAGAATTCACTTGGGCCCCATATAATATGCACATAAAACAGACAATTCTGTTTTAAAATGCAGCCAATCAATATTCTTCATAAAAAGACTATATAGATGATAATAAGCTACAACTTCTGAATTCTCCAACATTTACATGTATGTCCTCCAAATACTGCCCTAGTTAGACCCTGTACCAGTTGTACCAGACCTTCTTCAAGATTCCACATATCAGGATACAAGTGAGGAGTTCCCGAAGATATACAGAAACAATCTGGAGTCTGCAACCTAGCAAACACCAAGTAAAAAGCTGGAATGTATATTTTCAATCAGGACAACGCAGACATAAGCATCCATCTTTCTGGTATCTGACTTCTGTCTAAGACCTGGAGGGAAACTTCACTGTGGAGGAAGAGTTTCAGGACATACACTCCTGTAGCAGGAATCTTAAAAGTTCTTATTAATAAAATCAAACCTGAGGCCAGTTATTGGGGTGAACACTGGAAGATCAGAGAGACAGAACAAGCCACAGCTAACCTCACGTGGCCAACTTCTCAGCTGATCTTGTTTCCTCAGACTGGAAGCTTCTTTGTCCTCATATCCGAATGGCTCTCAGCTGAACTGTGTTCCTCAAAACCTAAAAGCTTAACCAGCCAAATGCTTAACCAGCCAAATGCTTCTAGTTTCTGGTCCTCACGCCTTATATACCTTTCTGCTTTCTGCCATTACTCCCTGGGATTAAAGGCTCGCTTTCTGGGATTAAAGGCGTGAGTCACCATGCCTGTCTGTATCCTTGAACAGATGGATTTCTGCCTCTGGAATGCTAGGATTAAAGGCATGGGCTACCACTGACTATCCTAAGTATCTAGTGGCTTTTCTGTTCTCTGACCCCAGATAAGTTTATTAGGGTACACAATATTTTGGGGAACACAATACCACCACACACTCCACTACACGGCATGTCTTGTCTATGGATCAAGAAATCGGTGTTAAACCAGAAGTTCCTACTGCCCCAGAGAGCTCCATGGCATGAACTTTTCATGCTTTGCATCATATGCTGAGTACCCACTGAGTACAGTCACAGAGACAACAGTGCATCTCCACTCTTAACTTCGAAGGCAGGTAGCCTGGACACACGACTCAGGAGAGCATACATGACAGCCATTCTAAGAACTGTCTTTGTTAGTGCAAAGAAAACTTACTTCTTCCCCTTGAAGTCACATGGCTCATGTTTCGTTCTTATTTTCAGTACTAACTTCACAATAAAGTTTGGGTATCACTAGTAGCCCACACCTCTTCCAAGTTTCTCCTCAAATTTCAGAGACATCTTCCCCAATAACCCTTCGTCACAACAGCCTTCAGCCCCATGATGTAAACGTTGGCTCTGTGTTTATTCACCATTTTCTTCGTGGCATACCACGTTATTCCTGTTTGATTCCTTTCCACAGACAGTAGCCACCCTTGAGGGCAGGCATTGGTTCCTTCCTGGAACTCCAGCACCACAAAACTGACTGACAACAGCAAGTGCTCACTAAATACCCAGTGACTCATAAAAGAGCACATAGCCACGTCAACTTCTATAATCTATATTTAAACTGTCTTCATGAACTTGAACTTGAAGTAGATAGTTTTCTGGTTCTGGTGTGCTTATTGGCTTTGTTCTCTGCCTTTAAAAGTAGCTGTGTAAACTAGTTCCAATCTTTCAAACCCTGAAGCAGGTACTAAAGAGACAGGTACGAGTAAACAGATGAAACTCTGATTACCACATGTGTTATATTCTAACAGAGTGGCGAAGTCTCTACTGAGGACAGGGGAGGAAGGGAGTCAAGCACCATGAACTTGGTAGGAAACCCTTTCTTTCCAAACTCATCATTTTCTTCCTCCCCTGTATGGGTCTAAAGCAGTGATGTTTCTTTTAAAAGGACAGTCCATGACGAAATGCTCCTGGGCATCTCTGGCTATTCCCACACTTCCTCCTAGTTTACTTCCTGGTAGGTTCTCATTATGTTTATTTGCATTCTACGATTCTCTGAAAGGAAATTAAGAGTCTCCTGGGTGTTTCTAAAATATCCTAACCTTTCTCCAACACATCTGCACAAACAGAGCCACTGAAGACACGATCCCTTAATAATCCAAGGAGACGAGACCAGCTTCATTTCAAATTCTACCCTAAGCAAGCTAAAGTTCTGAAAAAAAAAGGGGGAAGGTGGGCAATGGTTTGAAGAGAGAAATACTTCCGAGCAGAGGGACCTCACCTGTTTCACAACAGTTACTGTCCCAGGAGCCATAGCAACCACCGAGGCCACAGCAGTGGCATCGTGGGTCTCCGAACCCAACTCAATGATCTGCTGCAGGATGTTCACAGCTGTGGGGTCAAGTCGATCACCTACAGGAAAGAAGCGAAAGGACGCCATTAAGCTCTGCACTGAATGGCATCTAATGCCAACTGGCCCCTAGATGGGAAGGCTATGGGGTGATGCCTATTCCAGACAGTTCATGGGTTCTCAGAAATAACTAACTCAGACAGAGAAATAACTTGTTTGGTACTTTATAGTTTACTAAACATTTCCTACAAGAAGTTTTCAAGGCCTGACTGGAACCATAAGGGATAGCATGATGATATGATCCCCATTTTTTTTTTTTTTGATGTGTCAGTCACTTGGGTACGAAAAGCAGGGATTTGCCTCAGGTCACTGGGGCAATGGCATCCCAAACATTCAACTAAAACCCAGATGAACTGAATCTTGATGTTATACAAACTGCCCTTCAGTGTCACAGCTGAGGATTACCAGATGACACGTTCAAATGCAGAACTGGTTCCTCCTGAGGGTAGAGGGGTGGGAAAAGCATGCCAAGTGGCAAGCAGAACACCCAAAAATGCCTTACTTATCTAGCCAGTGGGCTTGTGAACTACAAACCAATTTAAGCCTGCTTTCGTTTTAATCTTGTCAAAAGACAGGGGCCCACACCATCAGGGCAGCAGCTTGGCACACCCTTCCTGCTCTCTCTCACCATCTGCTGCCCATCTGTAATCCTCCTGAGCACACCCTCACCCAGATCACTAATTCACTACAATGGAAATTACTGTTTGGTCTCTGTGCTTCATCATGTCATGAAGTCTTTGCCAATGTTTACACCCTCACAGGCAAGCTTGTTGCAGGCCACGAGCCAACATGAATCAACCAGTAAGAGACTGGGGAAAGAGACTTTGACATGATTAGTGTGGTGGGTAGAACATGGCCTAAGATGGAGGGGGTGACCTATATATACTCACAATATACCAACAGCATCCCCCTTTCCCACAATACACCTGTACCTGGGAGATGACTCAGATGTGCCTTGCTGCTAACCACTCTAAATTCCAAAGACTAAAATGTTTACTTTGGTGAGTCACTGAGGTTAGATTTTAATTCCTCCTCCACTCCCTCCCTCCCTGATCATTACCCAGCCCAACCATTAGTCAGCCAGGAGCTACGGTTCCCACTGGGAATACGGATAATATAATCTTCCCCACCCCCCTCCCCTGTCCTTCCTGGGCTGACAGGCTGCTGAGACTGACGTGTAAGCAAATCATCATAACACATGGTATTGGAGGGCAGTTAGGGGACAGCATAGAAAAGTCTAGTGGGATCCCAGTAGATGGCATGCAATCTAAGTGCTGAAGGTGGGGGTGAGCTAGGCAGAAAGGGTTCCATGAGGGGGGCCGCACCATATCCTAGGGCATACTGGAGTATACAGATGAGAAATGCAACCTATGCTGATACCTGCAGAATCTGGCCTGGACAACACAGCCTAAAGGCAGGAAGCAAGACAAGTGGGCAGCCAGCAGGGAAAGTAGAAGGTCTGGTCTGCTGAGCTACAAAGGTGGAGCAGTATCTGAAGCTCCATGGGAAGACACTGGTGGGCACATGGGCTTGTGCTCGTGGACTCTCTAAGGAGAGAGACACTAGTGGAAAAATGGGCATATGCTCATGGATTCTCCAAGGAAAGACACTGGTAGGCAAGTAGGCATGTGCGCATGGACGCTCCATGGGAAGACACTGGTGGGCACATGGGCATATGCTCATGGGAGATGAAGACATCATTGACCACTGAGACAGAAACCCAAATTCAAATAAGGACTCAGCTGGGAGTCTTGCCTCACAGCGTGGCCTTGACTCTGCAGAAGTGGAGGTGCTCTGGCCCCCGGTTCTCTCTAGCCTGGCAGGAAGCAGTAGTTAATTGCTTGGAAATGGATGCCCACAGGAGTTGGGATGGAGCTTTCTTAAGACTGGAAATTAAGGATTTCAAGTCAGGACAGGAGCAGTTTCCTCCGCTTATCTCCCAGTACCATTTGTTCTCACCTAATGCTTTCCCATTAATCCTGCTTACTTGTTTCAGCCTCCAATATGCATGTGCTCCGGCATTTCCAGAGCTGTGGGAAAACAGCTTTCAAGTACAGTGCTCAGTTTGTAAACTGATCAAAAATACAAGATCATCACATTTGATTTAAAAATATGGTCTGACTTTTTGGAAGCAATGGAGACAGATGAGTGAGCCTGAGCACACAGATTGATATATATATTATATATATATATATTATATATATATATCACATCCTAGTCACCGTTATCACCTACCTGGACACTCTGGACCCTGGGATAAGCCCTATAGAATAGATGGCCATGAGGAAGTATGAGGCAGTGGTAGGGACTGCCCGAGGAAAGACAGGAGAACCAGACTCCAATTCTGCTACCTAAGTGGAAGACTCTCACCAGCTATGCGCAGTGGACAGCCACCTTCACATCAGTTAAGTAAGAATGTCAAGGCTACCCCTGAAGAAAGCTGCTCTGGAACAAAGTGTGATCCACGCAGGCCCCACTCTGGCTGGGTTCATTCTGAAGCATTTACAGAGACAGACATCCTGATTTGTTCATTACGTAACGAGCAGCAGCGCTGAAGTGAGGAAGGAAGTCAGGTGTGCCCTCACCATTGTCGGAGGTGTATCTCAGGTCCTGAAGGGCAGCCACCGCGGCCTGTGTCCCCTGAACATCTTCTTCAGCTTCGGTGATGTAGAGGTACTGGGTGGAGGGCTCCTCCGGAGTCTCTGTTGCCGGCTAAAGAAAAACATCATGTCTCAGCATCCTTCCAAGAGATTAACAGCAACCTCCGAATTCCAGAATGAGATAAACACATACAGAAGAATAGAACTTCACACCCCACTGGCATAGCTCTTCTGAAAAGCCATCTGCTCCAATATATGCATTTCCAAAGAGAACATTTTCTCTGGAGGGTCAAGACTTTATCAAGCCGCTTTGAGTGGAAGCCTGCTGCTCCTCATGCTCTCGGTACAAAGTGAAGCATGCTGTTCAGAATGAACACATTTGAGTGTGTACTTCTACAGGCTTCTGTCTCCTCCCACTGCTACCAACACTGTCTTTAATCTGCCCCTTACATGGAGGCCTCTGGCCATGCAGCTAACAGAGGCAAAGGAACAGCCATGGGAGAAAAAAGAAAACACTGCATTGTTACTTAGCATGTAAAGCACGCACAGGTCCTACCACAGAGTAAGAGCCCACTGAACCATAGCTATCAACACCCATCGAATTATTACACAAAGACTATGGAAGGACATTCTGCAATATCAGGTGATAGCTGAGGGTAGAAGGGGCTGTAGTGATGTTCAAAGGTATCTCCTACCTCAAGGGGAGAAGCAGAGAGAGCACATAGTCACAGGATGAGTATTAATAAAGATCTCTTTCTGAGAAGGAACACAACCAATACTGTAAGGTGTGGGCCATGAATCTCATCAATAAAGAACAAAAGGAAGACATTGGCTAAAGTTTATAGAAGTCAACGTTATGCTCTATCAACATCCATCAGTCACTGACACAGAGTTTCAGAGGAGCATGTAACTGTCCTTTCACAGACAACTGGCCAAACTCAGGTTATGCCTGCCTGACATAAAGGAGACACCTAATAAATATCCAATGAATGCAGAAATTAATAAAAAAAAAAAAGACCATTTCTCCTTTAGAGTAGCATTAAGCAGTGTACCAGCCAACTATGGATCCATGTGCCTTAGCTTGTGGAAGAGCTGCTCTTCTGGGGGACCTAGGTATCAGTGACACTTAGTAATGTTCCTTCTGTGCATTCCTAGGAGATAAGTGACAACTCAAACTGCCAGGAAGCCAGTGTGCTATTCTACTGGTGGCCACCCTATGCCCAGCTCCCTCGCTGCTTAACTGCCTAACTTAGAGAGGCAAGGGCCTATTTTTGTGTGTACTATTTCAAGAGGGTCATAGCTCTGCTAATAGTTCTAGAATCTGCTGGAGGTAACTGACTGAGATGGGATGGTTTTCCAGCATGAATTAGTATTCCAATGACTGTTTCTTTAGACAGCAAATTCTGTAGTACAAACTTGAGAGTTCAGGAGAATAATCATGTCACCATTTATGGTGATGAGACACTGAGGCTGCCATCACCACCACCACCACCACAAAGGGCTTATCTGTCACACACAAACTCCAGCATTTTAACAGTATTCCCCATCTCAGCTTTCCAATCTACCAGCATACTTTATGGCTGGAAACACTAAGACTACAATGAGTCCAGAGTGGCTCAAGGTCTAACAGCTTATAGAAGCAGAGACAAGTTCAAAACCTGTCACTCCAACCCTCACTCTTTTTCAGTCTTAATTTATTTTTAAAAAAAAGTTTCAAATACATAAGTAAAAAGAGAGGTATTATAAAGTCCCACATACTTGTCACTCAATTGCCGGATTTAAACAATTTTCAACTTATGATCAGTTGTTTCACATATGGCCCCACATCCTCCACGACTTGCTCTTGGATTTGTGTGAGTGTGTGTGTGCACATACGCACATGTGGGCACTTGTGTATGCCATAGTGCACCTTTTGAGGTCAGGGAACAATTTTGCAAAGTTGGTTCTTTCCTTCCCCTTTATATGGGTTCCAGGGATCCAACTACAGAAAATGAATTACACATTGTGCCATCTTGCTGTGGCTCTACCCCTGGCGGCTTTGAAGCAAGTCAGAACCATTGTTTCCTCCACAAGTATTATAAATGATGTTAGATGTGGAGTTTTCCATGTGTGGGTAGTATACTGATATTCAAAAGCTTTTGGAACTGACAGCATTGTGGATTCTGAGTTTTTTGTTTTAATTAGGGATTTTCATCATGTAGATGATACTGATAATGCTGCTGCTGCTGCTGCTGAAGATGATGATAACAACAGTAAACCACAGAAATTCCTAGTGATTTTTGACTCCCAAGTTGGCACTAAGGCTCCATCTAGCTTTGGCCTCTGCTTATTGTAACATCTTCCAACAGTAAAAACACAGTTCCCTTTATAAACAGAACATTGCCACACTTGCTCAATTATAATCCACACAGGAAATAGTTTCAGAGCTTAAGCATAGTACTGTGACAAGCACTTTGACCAGACTGCAGCACTCATCAGCTCTTTGTCTTTGGCCTTAAAGTATCCGGCAATATACTGTTTCCATAGTTACTTGTTTCTGAGTTTAGTGGAAACCCTCTAGTATTTCCAAATGAAACCAGACACTGGCTTATGGCCAAGACACAGACATTTTTGTCATCTTAAGGAGCACCCACTAAGTTCTTCTAAAGGTGTATAATAGGTGAGCAACGCTTCCTGTCAAAAGCCTTTTTGCATCTATGGCAATGATTCCATTTTCCCCCTAGTTCATGGTGAGCTATATAAGGATATGTTCTAATATGGAGTCATGATTTCCTTACATTCCAAAGTAGGTTCCACACTGCCACAGTGTTTCATTGTTTTCATGTGCTATGAATTGTTTCAAAGACCTTATTCCTGCCCGGTTATAAGGAGGTATGCTGTGAGTCCACATGTCAGCTGGAGGTGACTGTGACTGCCAGAGAGTGATGAACCTGGGCAGTATCTAGAAACAGCTGTCTGTCTCACTGAGGTCCAGAGAGGCAGGGTGATGCTACTGCTTGGCACCTGGTAGGAAAATGCCAAAAATGTAGCTAAACTTCCTATAAGGTCCAGGATAGCCCTCCACAACAAAGAATTCTGCAGATCAAAACATCAACAGTGCTGAGCTTGAAAAGCTCTGCTTTGAGTGACTGCAATCTGTCCATGATAGTGGCATCTGGTATTTGAAAAGATGGGTGGCTGTTGGCTATTGTAATGGTGACAGATTCAAATTTCTGAGAGAAGCCGACAGTGGGTAGGACCAGGAGCATTTGGTAGAGGAAAAAGAAGGACCAGGAGCCAGGAAATGGGGCCTTTCCAGTTCTCTCAGTGAAGACAGCAACAGGCCATTTGCCTTCCACTCTGTTGGGTAAAAACATCTAAAAATGCGTTTGTGAGCTGGAGAAGCCAAGACATTCACAGAAAAGCCCAAATTCAAGCCGGAATAAGCTTCACATAGGTGGCTGAGATCTCACTCAGAGGGACCCAGAGCCATGATCTGAAGTGGTTGCAGATTTCCACGAAACACATCCAGTGTTCTCAAGGGGAGACTGTGCCCAGCACCTGGGCTCACCAGACTTGTCACCTGTGTTTCGACACGTTGAGATCATACCACACTTAAAGTGTTACCTCCAATTTGGGGTCTCCATCAATCTCCACTACCTTCAAGCCATGCTTGTTCTTCAAGTGCCTGTTGTACTCCCATTTGGTGCCATACACAAAGCTGCAAACAGGACACTTCAGGCCACCTGCAAGCACAGACAGGTAAAAAGTGTTTAGAGCCAGTAAGCATGCTGCTGGGTCTCCTTCTGTCCAAATGTGTGGGATCTACAAAGTGCCTCATTTGGTCTCCAGCACCTACAGTCACTCAAGCTTACCACAGCACTGAAATAAAACAGCAACGGTAAAGCAGCTTTTAAGGTAGAGATTCGAGAACTTAATATACTTTTCTTATTTATTGAATAGGCCTTTGCAGAGAGCCTAATACCTGCTTGATATTTTAAATGCCAGGGAGAAACGAGGAATATAATCCCCTTGACCAACTGGATTGTGGCTAAAATCAATCTTTCATGTTGTTATCTGTAAATAACATTTTTTAAAGTCACTGAAGAGCAGTGGTTGATTTGTCAATCTCCTTTGCCTCCAAATGCTTCAAATCAGATGCTCAGTTCTCAACCGCCTTCCCAGAGAAGCTAAGTCACGAGTATAAATTCTCCTGTGGGTTTCCCAGGAAAGAATAAATTAAAAGGCTGGTCACATCCTGAAGTGTCACTCTTTATTGAACCAATTATATTTTGCACATGTTCCAGGAAGTGTTTAGATGCCTTAATTGGGATAATGTAAAACTCAAGGTAGAGAAAAACAAAACACTAAGGTCACAGAAGAGACTCTTTCTAAAATGCTATCAGAAGCAGCACTACATTGGAGACCGGACACTAATCTCTTAGCAAAAGATGCCAGTTCTAGCCAGAGGAGCCCGAAAGCAGTCCTGGCGTTAGGTGATCAGCACTCCAGACCAGAGTTGGGCCTCCACATGGGGCTGGGCCCAGACAGTGGGTGTCCTCACCAAAGTTCCCCTGCTGGAGTTTTTGCAGCCAGCTGACTATGCAGTTCCAGCAGCTCATGCCCCAGTGGGGAGCTGTTGGGTCTCACTTTCTCTTGCGCCATGTTTTCCCTATGGATAGCCTTTCCTCCCTAATATCATCCATAGACTGCATCCTGAGAGCAATGAAGCTCAACATTAACTTCATAAGGAAGGCTTGCTCCTCCCCTCCTCTTTAACCAGTTCTCCCTGTGTCAAACAGAACGCAGAGAGAACTAGTTAAAGAGTTTGAAAGTCACAGTGTTCATTTAATACTATCTTGCTTGCTCTTTGAATCCGGCCTCCTGCCGTGGCAAGATGCTCCCCCGCCCAGTCCCACGGCTGCCACAGCACATGTCCGAATCAGTTACTAAGCAAATGAACACTGTCTGTTTTCCTCCCATAACAATACCAATAGCCGTAACAGTCACATGTATCTACTCTCCAAGTGCACATGTCAAACACCACAGGCATAAGCTACACTCACTCCCCAACAATACTGGCATGATTACCTCATTTTAAACAGAGGCTTTGGACTGTGAAGTAGTATTTGCCTTAAGCCAAGACTGTAACCAGCTTGAGTTCGGTGCAGTAAACAATAATAGTGATCACAATTTCCATCAAATTCTTCCTGGGCAGTATGATGCACTCACTCTCAAGATCTCTTTGACTCAAACACCTGGGCCAGTTTCTTACCTTTATTCTCAATCCTGAAGCCTCACAAACAATCATTTTCACATCCCTGATATGAACATCAAGTGATGCCCAAAGCAGCTCATTTCTCCAGTGCCTCTGTGAGCTGAGCGAATCACAGGGATGCTTATGTTTAGGCAGCCAGAAGCTGAACTGAGGAGTATGTCTTAGGCTATTATCTTCATTTATTTATTGCGCATTCCGAGGCATTCTGTCCAGATGTTGAGTTTGACTGAATAACTTTTGTTAGAGCCAGGCAATCTCAGGGGCATGCACTACTCAATTCCATCCTCGTTCACATGCAGCTCCAATGCATGTCCTCTCCTGAACCAACTCCATGTCAGTGGACTCTGCACAGAGCATTGCCTACAGCTGGAGTTTCTTGTCTATTGCAGAACTGGAAGCTAATAGTACTTCCCTTCCCACCTTCCGCTCATTGCTCCCCAGTCTCCTGATCCTGGGTATGTTTAAGAGCATACAGCAGAAGCAAGATGGAGGAGAGACAAAGCCAGGTGACACTAGTCACCATCAGAAAGACCGGAAAGAAATGGACATCAAATTCTTAAGTTACAAAACATCCTACAAAATAAAAAAGGCAAAGTGAATGGCTATTTTCAGAATCTCAAAGACACTATTCTTTTATAGACAAGATCAAATGCATTGTTGTTTCTTAGTCAGGAGCATAAGTAAACTTCCTTTTAACCTCCCATGGTGGTTTGATTGAGAAATGTTCCCATAGGCTTGGGTATTGGAATACCTCATCCCCAGTTGGTGGTGCTGTTTGGGGAGGTTATAGAACTTTTAGGATGTGAAGCCTTGCTGGAGGAAGTGCATCACTGGGGGCCAGCTTTGCAAATGTACAGCCCTGTCCCACTTCCACTTCTCGGCTTCCTGCCTGTAGTTGAGGATGTGATTTCTTAGTTTCCTGCTCCAGCCATCTGCTGCCATGCCTCTCCCACCATTATGGACTCTCCCTCTAAAACTGTAAGTCAAAATAAACTCTTTCTTCTGTAAGTTGCTCTTGGTTGTGGTGTCTTATCACAGCAACATAAAGGGCACAAGACGAATATAACAAGGGAATATACATTCCCTGTTATCATGTATTAGTCACCTACCCTGCTGTCTTTCCTCATGAGCATCTTTGCAAAACCTCTCTCAGTCATGTCTTCCACCTTTGCTCATGGCTAAGACCAATCCTGCTTCTCCATGAAAGAGTTAAACTCAGCAACAACCAACAGCAAACTTCCTGAGGTCAAATGGAGGCTTCACAGTGAAACTAGAATACAGTTTTAGGGAAACTAATTCAGGGAGAAAAAAACAACCTCATATTATGTTTAAATTGTACTTAATATGATAATGCCCGGCATTAATTAAAACTTCAATCTTTGCCATAGCAACTTTAATTAAAGAACAACAAATAGAAATATGTAATCTTACCTGAATGTATAACTATGCCATTTAATTGACATCAGAGCAGAGAGAAATAATTTCTCCTTCAATTAATTAATTTCTTAGTGTGCACAGTAAAGGTCAACAGAAGGCCTGATGAGCTACTCACAACCCTGGCATTAAGTGCTCGGTAAAGTTGCAAATGGCCAACTACATTTTCCTCACATGGACTGCTTAACCAAAAGAAAAGGTAGGGGGTTCAGGAACAACTTTAAAAGCTCACCATGGTAGCCTTGCTCTTTACAGACTGTAACCTATTAGAAATCTAGAGGATTTCCAGGCATTAAGACATTTGCCCTTCTTTGTGGTGCCTGATGTTATGGAAGACTCCATTTCATGTTCAATAACATCAGTCTGGGAACAGCACAGAACATGAGGAAGGCAGGCAGGCAGGCAGGCAGATCATACTTGTGTGAGCCTGGTGAACCTCCTTACACTCTTAAAGTCTGAGCTTTCTCTTCTACTAAGGTAAAGATAGCAGTCCTCATATCCTCATGGTAGCTACAGCACAACAGGCAGAATATAGGGTCTCCCAGATGGATACACTAACCCTCGGAACATGTGAACACATAGCTTGCATGGGAAAGGGACTTGGCAGATGTGATTCAGCTAAGGACTCTGTGATGAAGATCATTCTGGAACATGGAATGTATCTAATATAATCAAAGGGAAGACTGTCATCAGAATGGCATGATAGGAGAAAAACTCCTCTGACCATTCTTGGCTTCAAAGGTAGAAGAAGGGCCCACAAGCCAAGGCATGGGGTAACTTCTAGAAGCTGGACAAGGTCAGAAAGCAGATATTTCCCTCACAGATGTAGATTTGTTAACATCTCTATTTTAGCTTAGTGAGCCTCAGTGTGCATATCTGAACTTTGTAAGGTAACAAATCTGCATAGTTTTAAGTCATTTGCTATAGTGGCTTTGGGAAACTAGTACAGGCACTCAGGGACTGGAGCAGAAGCATTAAGGAACGTGGATACTGAATAGTTTAAATTCACAAGATGAGTAAGTGAAATGTGGACACCAGTTCTTGTGGATATTCTCATTTCCTGTTGAATAAGAAAGTGTTACTCCGAGTGACCTTTCCCTGTCTAGTGGGTTCTGTTGTGGCCTGTGGCCTTGGTCTTGCTGAGATGCTTCAAAGCCTTATTAAGAATGTCTGGGTCCCCATGAAACCCTACTATACCCAGGTTTACCAGGAAATTTGGATGGGAATGGGGTTAATGAGCTACATCGTTTATAAAATCAGGAAAGCTGATAAAAGAAGTAAAGCTTTGAAAGGCTCCAGTCCTGCACCTGCCCATGGCCATCATTAACTGCTCCCTGAGTCCACTCACGATGAATCCTGTCGGCTAAACTGAAGCAAGCTGTGTTAGGTGGGAACATGGAACATCGCTGTGCACTTACCTAAGTACCATTTACAATGTGGCATTAATAAATGTGTGTGAGCAGCAAAAAAAAAAAAAAAAAAAAAAAAAAAAAAGAAAGTGTTACTCCTAGTGACCTAAAGTGCTGTTGGATCACACCGGGCCATAGGACTCAGGGTTTTCTGAATCCTGTGTCAAACCCTAGCCTCTCTTCCCATAGGAGCCTTGAGAATAACAGCATAGGAGAACGACAGCAGAGAAAAACAAGCCTACTTTATCATTAGCTGGCTGATATCCTGGACTCTAATGAGGAGTCCCTGGTAAACACATCTCAAGTAAGGTCTTCTCCACTTCTCTCTGGGCGCTGAGACCATTGGGAAGGGCTGAGCAAAAGAAACAGGTTGTATAGTCAACCTTGAGCCAAATTAGTGACTAGCCTTGGGAATGAAGATAAGAGGGACAAAAAGAGCACCTCCCATGAGACTTCGAAAGTGCAATCTAATCAATATCCCAGTGTGAGACCACGCCCGCTCCTCACCCTCATCCCCCTCTTCTGCTTCACCAAATACTGAATCAGGAGACTGGATTAGCCTGGTCACATCGCCATTGCCCTCTGCCAGCTTCTAATTTGAAAACAGGTGAATAAGCATACCAACCTTTAGGACTATATCATAGGAAAAATTAACCCATTCAATAATAATCAATAATAAGGCATACCATCACACCACTAGAAGCCTCTACCAACAACTCATTGAATCTTGATTTTAGATATTTTAAACATGTCCATAAATTAAATTGATGACTTCTGAGCTACTTCACAGTTTCTGGATTTTCTGCTACACTATTTCCTGAGATTAGCATGAATAATACGATATGCATGTGCTCCCATGGATACAGATTTACATTTTTCTAATTCAGTAGTTCAAAATAACAAAGACTTCAGCAGAAGCCAAAAATGAAGCCTTCGTGACATACCTCCTGTCATTTCTCCTCTGGTCGTGACTATCTATTGTCACTTCAGGGACTCTCAAACAGGGGCTCCACAGAGGGCTCAGCCACTGTGAGAAGCAGCTGATGGTACTCCCAGACAGGACCTTCTCTCATGTGGAAGGGAAGAATCCTTTAGCCACACCATCAGAACATGAGGCCCTGAAAGGAGCTGCCTAGTCCCAGTGCTACTGAACAAACGAGACAAGCAGGTTCCAACTCAGGAAGGAATGCAGATGAGTGCCACCATAAAGTCACCTAGTTTGGTACAGAGTTTCAGTGGCTAGCATTGGGCTGGCCACACAGAAGAGGCTGAAAAGACATGTGCATGAGGAAACATGTAGACAAATGTCATAGCTTAGGGTTTTCATCAAGCATTTACTTCATGTCAGGGATAGCTGGAAGTATTAGAGAATAAGATCTAATTTTTGCAACTACTGTTGAGGGCAGGTATTAGATTCCCCTGTGATGATTCTGAATGCAAGATCAAGTACAGGGAAGATAAGTACCTGGTCCAAAGGCCACGATGTGCAGAGACCCCAGTTCAGGTCTGTGTGGCTCCCAACCCTGTGCGTGTTCCAGAGAATCTAAAGAAATCTGACAGGGTACTTTGTGGTACTGGGAAACTGACCTTTGCTAAGTCCCATCTGCATCATATCACACACCACTTAGAAAGGAGTTATGACTTCATGAAGCCTGGCACCAAAGCACCTTACACACCTCAGTGCCTATGACTGCTAACCTAGCTCTCAAGCAAGCTTTAATCAGGCATTGGTGAAGGGGCAGGAGTGGGGGGGCCTGCCAGGTATGTCTTCCTTAAACAGCACAATATATACATTTGTATAGGAGAATGCTTCAAATCCATATTGATGATCAACTGATGACTTAGAGAAATCTACCCTCAGAATATGAGATGCACATACATTACAAGCCAAGAATAAACTGCTTCATGTAATGCTTAGGAGAAGTCTAATGTCTAAATAGTACCAAAGTAATGAAGACACATTTAGGTGTCTGCTTCTTCAACAAGGCCCTAGAATGGGACTGGGAGGTAGGGATGGAGACACATGAAAGAAAATGATCAAGCACTGATCTTCAAAGCTTAATTATGAAACCCAGGTCCTGTTAGAAAATGCCAATTGATTAGAAAGTGAACAGAAAACTTGGGGCATAAAACAGTTCAAGTTCAGCACAGTTTTGGCAAGGCAGTGATGAAAGTCTAAAAGCAGTGATAGCTTCATCAATCAGATTCATGGGCCTGTCCCACCAGCCACACTGAACATCTATTTTCTGCCAATCAAATCCAAGAGTGTGAAGAATGTGAAAACTAAGCCCCAGCTTCCCACTCATTGTTTTCGGTGACTCTAAGTCAAATCCATTCTCCCTCATGACTCCTGGACATGACGACTGTCGTAAAAAAAATAATGCAATGGTGGCTAGCGGTGCAACTCAATGGGAAGGCGCTTGCCTACCATGTGCAGGGCCTTGAGTTCCATCCTCAGCACAGAAAAGGAAGACCCCAAGCAATGGTCCCAAAAGTTTTAAATATTTTCAGGAAAAAAAAAAAGCAAATCTAGGAATGAAAGTCTTTTGTGCCAGATACCCCTGAACAGCATCCTCTCTAGCCTCATGGAAGATGGTGCTCTGTAGTCAAGGAGTCCAACAAGGACAGGCTAGGTGACTGCCTAAGACAGCACAGCTCAGGGAGAGGAAACCCAGACTTGAGCCAAGATCCTCCCCCTCTGCTGCACCATCCTGCTCCTGGCATCATAAAACTTCTCCTGAAGAAAACAAACAGCCCATTTTCTCTCTTGCACTCCGATAAATTTCTGATGGATAGCTCGGAAAGGATCCTGAGAGTCTTAGCTGCTCATCTATTCCTGTTCTGCTCTGTCACTGAATGCTGCTGGATATAGACAATCCATTTGTGTTACATGGAGATGCATCTCTAGGCAACTCAGCAAGGGATGCTTTGTGCTGAATCGGAAAAGTAAGTATCCCTGGCTGCGACACAGCTCTTGGTCCTCCATCTGGTAGCCAGACAGGTTTGTAAAACCTCCCTCAGCTCCACAGAGTCACCAGCTAATAAGAAGCGGTGACTAAAGCTACTCACTGCAGTCAGTCCTAGCTGAATTATTAGAATGGAGACATAAAGACAGCCATATTTCTCTGTGTGGTAACAGCACGTGTGTTATGCTCTCTTCGGTGGTAATGTATGGTTATTTATTTTCAATAAAACCTCAAAAAGAAAAACTCTGAAATTTTTCAATATTTACAGGGTTTTTCATTAATTCTCAATAAATGTTCAAAATATTTTTCAGGATAGCTAAAGTACCTGTGTACTCAAAATGTGTTTTTCTATAAATCTCCCCCCAAAGTTCAACTACTAAATATATCTATAGTAGCACTGGTTACAATTTTATTTTTAAATCTAATTAAAATATAATTACATCATTTTCCCTTCCCACTCTTTCCCTCCTACCTGCCCCATGTCTAGCCCCCTCCCTGGAGTTCATGGGGTCTTCTTTAACATCAAGGAAGGGAAGACATAAAGACTGTAAGAGTCAAAGGACCATGAAGTGTTCTGTGAGATCACACCTTCTAGCTATGCTACAGAAGCTACACCCATGAAATCTCAACAACATGGCTTCCGACCCAAGACCTAAACAATTCCACAACCAGCTGACATCCCAAGATAGATGGGGGGAAATCTCACAGGGCCCAACACATGGATGAAGAGCTAAAAGCAATTAACAACTCCTAAGAGAGGGAAAATTAGTCTTCCATGGAGAAGATCCCCTAATTGATTATCCAATACCAAGTAGTCAACCATAGAAACATACCCTAGAAACAATACCAAGTAGTCAACCCTAGTAACACTGAATGACTCTGCAGGTTATATTTATGCTTATTTTTTTATATTTATATGTACTAGTAATAGTTAAAAAGAGAAAAAAACCTTAGAAACTCCATATTTTTCAGCAACAGAACTTTTAAGCTCTTACATGCAATGCTGTATTACCAACAGCCCTCAGGAGTTATAATTACAAAGTCAAAGACTGTAGCAAAGAACAACAAAAATGTTCTTGTCGATAACACTGAATGAAGACAATAAGGCCTAAAATTCCTACCCTGCAAACAGTATGTGCAAACCAAGAGTAGACAACAGTATTGGTGAATATTGTGGCGAGTACCAGAGACTGAAACTTTTACCACCGCCCTTTTAGAGCACGACATTACAGTTGCAATTCTGACTCGTGCCTTCTGGTGAATAATGAGGGTGGCGATGACATACCAACAGAGTGGAAGAACTAGCGTGATGCCAAGTCTGTGGGTTAGAACTGAGCTGTCAGTGTCTAGCAGTGCTTCTCAGCAGGCCTGGGCCCCTCACCTACCTTGCTGGATGAGTGCTTCAGCCGCAAGCTCCCCGCTGCCCACGTTGGCATACTCCTCATTGGGGTGCTTCCTGTTGTAATGTCGCTTCAGAGATCCAGAGATGTTACACGAGTAATGACAATGGGCACAGCGGAAAGGCTAGGGGGACAAGGAACAGAAATGGTGAGCCTCTGCCAACTTCCCCAAGTGTGCCTCCAGGTGAGTGTACGACGCCAGCATATCTGCAAATGAGCGGGCCCAGTAGACCCTGTCACTGGGGAATGGCTCGTCCCAGTTAGGGTTTCTAGTGCTGTGATAAAATACCATGACCAAAAGCAACTCAGGGAGGAGAGGACTTATGGGAGCTCACATGCCCTGGTCACAGTACATCTGGAAAAAAAAGTCAGGCAGGAGCTCAGAGTAGGAACCTGGAGGCAGGAGCTGAAGCAGAGGCCATACAGGAGTGCTGCTTACTAGTTTATTCCCTATGGCTTGCTCAGCCTGCTTTCTTATACTATTCAGGACCATCACTCAGGGTGACACTGCCTCCTGTGGGATGAGTCCACCTACATCAGTCATTAATCAAGAAAACATACCACAATCTTGCCCACAGGCCAATCTGGCGGGGGCATTTTCTCAATTGAGGTTCCCTCTTGCCACATGACTCTAGCTTACGTCAAGCTGACATCAAAACTAACCAACACATCCTGCTTCCATGCAGCCCCAAGTGGCCAGGGTAAGGTAGGTCCCAGGGATGCCACTAAACAAAACTGCAGTCTTTACTTCATGATTTCTCTTCTTGTCGACCCCTGGCACCGAAGAAGATAAATAAAATAGCAATATGCCAACCAATCACTATTTTAAGTGGATGCCATTAAAAGCAGTTCCTGTTACAATCAAATCCTTGATACTTGTTCCTTCGTCTAAACAACTTCCTTAGCGACGGTTCCCTGTCAGAATCTATAAAAATGCACAGAGCCAGGCTGTGGGGACATGTAGCTGGCAAGAGCCACTGCAGCCTGACCTAGGTCAGAGGAAGCACTTGCAGAATAAAGTCACAAATGGATCCACAGCCTTGTCTGGCCCCCTTGCATACTGCCTCTGGGAACTCAATGTAAGGAAGGGAAGGAGTACCCATCAGGTACCCTTACGAAGATCCTTGGCTTCAGCCTCAAAAAAGCTATGTACCTGAATCACTGCCATATGCTAGGCTCTTTCTCATACCAAAATGTCCTCCTGTGTCATGGTGCCATGTAGCTCAGACAGAGTGGCAGGAATCCTGTTTGGCATTTGGGCCCATCTATCAACACCAGCTTTCTATCAAGGCAGTAAGAAGCAGCTCATGGGCTGTGGTGATGTGTTCCCCAAAATATTATGTACCCTAATAAACTTATCTGGTTTCAGAGAACAGAACAGCCACTAGATATAGAGGCCAGGAAATGGTGGCACACACGCCTTTAATCCTAGCATTCCAGAGGCAGAGATCCATCTGGATCTCTGTGAGTTCAAAGCCACACTGGAAACAGCCAGGTGTGGTAACAAGAGCCTTTAATCCCAGGAAGTAATGGCAGAAAGCAGAACAGTATATAAGTCGTGAAAACCAGGAACTGGAGCTGGTTAAGCTTTCAGGCTTTTAGCAGCAGTTCAGCTGAGATTCATTCTGGATGAGGACTCAGAGACTTCCAGTATCAGTATCAGCTGAGGAATTGGCAAGGTGAGGTGGCTGTGGCTTGTTCTGCTTCTCTGATCTTCCAGCATTCACCCCACTACCTGGCCCCAGGTTTGTTTTATTAATAAGTCCTTCTAAGATTCGTGCTACAATGGGCCCCCAAGATGGCCTCAGTCCTCTGGATGTTGCAGGAGGTGCTCAGATGAAGCATGTTTAACCTCACAGGTGGAACTCACCTGCAGTGGCACCTCAGACAAGTAGCAAAATGTCTCTGAGCTCTTTCTTCATCAGAAACCTGAGGATAATAGCTACCTTGTTAGGCCATGCTCTGGATGAAGGGGTGGAACACAAACGAACAGCTGAGACACTGCGCTGAGAGCTCCCTATGATCTCCATCAGCAATTTCACAACAACTCTTGCACTCACAGAGGCTGACGCATCACTGTGTCTATTATGACCACCTGGACTCCGTGACTGACAAATGCATCCATCTTTTCACCATTACTATGCAGAGGCACTAAAGCAATAACAGCAATGACTGAGCGTGGAGAGAACCAACCAGCAGCGGGGATGCCCTCCCTGACCCGAAGCTTCCATGGCCTCTAGCAATGGCTTCTAGTCTTCCCACAGAGAGGCAGTGAGGAGAGACAGATGGGTAAACACAAGGAACCCCTTTGCCTAAGTCTTCTCTCTCCTTACTGTATACCCACCCACTCCTTCGAAGCAGCTTCTGCCCATGCCTTCCACTCCTCCCCTTCCCACTCAGGGCTCTGTCATCTCCCAGGAAAACAGTTCCCAAAGGTTTGGCCAACACCGTCTTGTCAGACCCCATGTCCCATATCTGTCAGATGGTGCCACCTCCCCGTAAAAAAAGGACATGGCAGCACTGCTATTGCCAGCTTCTGCTGATAGCCTCGGCACTATCTGACAAGATCGGCTGTTCAGCCCTGATATTCAGGGTTGACTCTCTCTAAGGCACTGCCTTGAGGCCTGTTAGGTCTGTCTGCTCTGGTTTCCATGATCATTTTTACACCATTGACGGCTGGATGTGAACATTCGGTATGACCCCTCCTCTCTTTCCCCAGGTAGGACTAGTTTTCTCCACAGGGAAATGCTGCAAGCATAACTCCAAGCAACTTCAGATTCATATCGTACTACATAATCTGCTGATCATTCAGACAAAAAAGCTGGCGCTTACCACAGCCACTTTTACCACTCAACCACTTCTGTTACCTAGTCCCAGAATCCGCCCCGCCGCTCTCCGCATGTCACGCCAGTGGAGAGACGGATGCCATTTCAACTGTATTGATTTTAGCACTGGAGATTGACACCTAGGTTTAACTGCACTGTTCCCTTGCACTGTTAGGCAAGCACTCTGCCACTGAACAATGTCTCCAGCCCAAATCCTCTTAAGAGACATGTTGGGAGCTGGAGAGATGGCTCAGAGGTTAACAGCACTGGCTGTTCTTCCAGAGGTCCTGAGTTCAATTCCCAGCAGCCACATGGTGGCTCACAACCATCTATAATGAGATCTGGTGCCCTCTTCTGGCCTGCAGGCATACATGCAGGCAGATCACTACATATATAATAAATAAATAAATCTTTAAAAAGAGAGAGAAAGAAAAAAAGAAAGAAAGAAATGTCATACTTCAGGAAGGCCCAGGAATTTATTGTTTTTCTACAAAAGAAAGACAAAGAAGCTTCAGGAAGTCCCCAGAGAACATCTACATCAAAAGTATCCTGGGACACAAAATATTTAGTGCTGTCCTATGCAGAGCTATATTTTTGCAATCAGTCCTTCATGGAACCCTTGTAGTTTGGACCACAGGCCTAGAACAAAGGCAAAACTTGTAGGGGTTTCTCATCTACCAAACACACAGGGGCAAAAGGACTACACTTCCAATAAAGGACTATTACAAAGTTAAAAGCCACACCACAGTCTAGTGTTTTCCTCTCTAAATAAGCAAACATTCTGAATTTATTATTTTTGGAACGCTAGCATTTACACAGACATCAAAAAAAGAAATGGAGAATGTTATACTGCCCACATGGGGTAGTCAGCAAGTAACAGCCGAGAAAGAGAGGGGCAATCAAAGTAAGAAATGATCCTACAAGCCAAATTCAGACGGTGGAGCCAAGTCCATCCTTCATGTGGCAAAGCAGATAAATTGCCACATGAGAGTTTCAAAGCCTTTTAGTTCCCATGCAGACTCCTGCGAAGAATTTCTAATGAGAAGAAAAATGGCAAACAGGTATGCCACGAGGAAAGAGAAGGTGCAGATGAGGTCAAATGAGAGCTCAGTCCCCAAGCGACAGATTTTTAGCCACATGTCAATTTTTGCATTGGAAGGCTCAGGGGAGCCTCCCTGTAGGCTCCCCTACACCCTCCCATGTAGACTGCGGTATTGGGCCAATGGATACGGTGAGCTCAGCACTAGGCTGAGCAGATGTCTTTCTGGTGAACTGTTCTAGGGCTTGAAAGATAATGACTCCTTTCCCTGGGCTCGACTCTGTTCCCTAAACCTTTTCCGTCATTCCATGAAATCCCCTGCCGGGGTCCTCTGTCCTAAACTACATTCACTGAGCCACACCTGGACCTTTCTGGCAAACCAAGTTCTAAGTTGAGAAGCCTTGGTAGTGTCAATCGGAGAACTCTCCAGCCGCTATGGCAGGTGGGAAGGCAGGCGAACCATAGCTAACCCACTCTGGTTGTGTTACTGATTCAGATCTTAAAATTCATATCCGAAGCATCGATGTGCTGACCTCCTACTGTGAGTGAGACACTGTTCTCTGACCTGGAGATCCCATGATGAATGAAGGCAGGCTTGTAATTCCCTGAATATATATGAGTTTCCAAAGATTAAATGCTACCTAGGCAAACTAAATCATACAACTTGGTTCATACACCAGATACTCTCAAATAGCAAATGGCACTGGACCTCATAAGGGAAGTTATTTATTCTGAACCTTCAGAACAGAATCCAGCCAAGAGTTAGGGAGACATAACTCATGGCATCCACATAGTTCACTTGGAAGAAAGCCTAAAGTTCTTACTGAGGTTCAAGAGAAAGGGAATAGAAAACAGACAGGGAGCTGTCAGCCATAACTTCTGTTCAGGTGCACTGGAGTTACTTAACCAGCTTTCTGAGCTCTAACATCATAACTAAGATGTTTCATCTAATATTTCCTGAGCTACTGTCTGTTGAGTAGCCATGCTTTTCATGGACTCATTCTTCTAAGTCTCACAATTTTATATGGGTACAATTATTGTTCCCATTTTACTGATAAGAAAATGGAGGCACAGAGTGATTTAGGAACTTGTCCAAAGCCTTATAGTCTCCTAGTCTGCACTGTTTTGGAACCCCAGGCAGAGCTAATTGCAAGGAAATGATTTAGTTTTTCACTGGCCATCTGGGCATCTATCTTCCTCACAGCTCTTCTCGGGGGATTACAGGCTGGCCTTCTAAGATATCATAGATAGGGGCCAGCC